TGAGTCTAGTGTTGTCTAAAGGATCACCTGAGTGTTTACTTAAAAATGCAAATTCTAGAACATTGCAGATGTGCTGGTTCTGATATTCCAGGAATTTTCCTTTAATCAAGATTTTGATGTGCTCTAAAGTTTGAAAACAATAGTTGCAGGACCTGGCTAGGATCTGGCTAGTCATTCCATGCTGGAAAAAGACCACATCAGGGAGGTCTGAATTCTGGTTCAAAATTTGTCACTAATCCTATATACGATACTGAGCCAGTGCTATCTCCCTTTTTGGCCTTAGCACCCTCCTCCTCCTCAACAGAATTTCCTGTATTTATGCCTGATTTCTGAGTTATGGGCTCTTCTGAGAAGTTTGAAAACATTACAGCCTGTGCTTTCAAACCAACTGACTCCCTCAGTCACAGTTGCACCCTCTACTCACTGAGCCTGTTTTTTCACTTGCCAATAAGGTTGACAGCGAGACCTGTGTCTGAGGATTGCTGAGAGGATTAGAGATGATAGTTTAAAATTTCCTTATTGAAGGATTAGAAAGGAGAAACACTCCATTGTTAATGGCACTTTTCTTTAAGTGGTAGGATTGTTGATGAGTAATTTTTCTTTTTGCTTAATGTATTTTCAGTTTTAAGAAATAATCAATTTTAAGATAATGATTAATAAAAACAAATGTATAAAAATAAACATAAGATGATCATATGATCTAGAAATTTCATTTCTGAATATATATAAATAAAAGAATTGAAAGCCCAGTCATGAACAGGTATTTGCATATCTATGTTCATAGCAACATTATTCACAATAGCCAAAAGAGATGAATGGAGAAACAAAAACGTATACATATACAATGGAATATTAAGTGGCCTTAAGGATGGAAGGTGGTGAGGGAAGGGGAAAGTGCGCCAATTATATTGTTATATTTATGCATGTACAAATATGTAACAACAAATCTCATCATTATGTACAACTGTAATACACCAATTAAAAATATGTGGAAAAAAAATCAGCCTTAAAAAAAGACAGAAATTCTGATACATGCTACAACTAGATGAAACTTAAAGACATTATTTTAAGTGAGAAGCCAGACACAAAAGAACAAAAATTATATGGTTCCACTTGTAAAATATCCAGAATAAGAAAATTATTTATAAAGGCAAAACAAGCGTAGAGATTACTGAGGGCTGAGTGGAGGAGAATGAGGACATTTGTTTAACGGGTTCATAGTTTCAGCTTGGGACAATGAATAAGTTCTTGAGATGAATGGTGGTAATGGTTGCACAACCCATGAATATGCTTAAGGTCACAGAGCTGTACACTTAAAAATAGTTAAAATGTTGCTGGTAAATGAATAGAACTGGAGAGCATCATGCTAAGTGAAATAAGCCAGACTCAGAAAGTCAGGATCAAGTAGAAGAGACGTGCACGCGCCCACACGCACAGAGAGAGAGAGAGAGAGAGAGAGAGAGAGAGAGAGAGAGAGAGAGAGAGAGAAAGAGAAGGAATAAAAAAGGAATGTCACAAAAATAAGAGAGAGACCAATAGAATCGACAAAGAGGGGATGGGGTTGTGGCTCAGTGGTAGAGCACTCACTTAGCATGTGTAAGTCCCTGGGTTCGATCCTCAGCACCACATAAAAATAAAATAAAGACATTGTGTCTATCTACAACTCAATAATAATAATAATAATAAAATTTTTAAAAAAAAGAATCCACAAAGGGGATAAAGGGAGGGAGGACAGGAGGGCATGGGTAAGTACTAGGGAATGAAATCTTCTAAATTATGCTATGTCCAGGTATGAATACACCACAATGAATCATCTACCTATCTGTATCTATACATATATATATTCGTATAATGCACTAATTAAAATAGTAAGAAGAAGAAGAAGAAGAATAGAAGAATAGAAAAGAGATCAGTAGAGTAGAGCAAGCAGATCAGAGGGAGGAAGGGGAGGAAAGAGGAGGGAAAAGGAAGGTCCTAGGGAATGAGATTGATCAATATGGCATAATGAATCCCTCTGTTTTGTATTACTATAATGCATCGGTAAAAGAAGAGAATCCTAGTAACTATGTTGAATGGATGAATTTAACGATTTATCCTTGACGTAATATAATAGAAAATCTCTAATAAAAGAAGGTGAATGGTGAATAGTTAAAAAGATAAATCGATGTATATTTTACCACAGTAAAAAAAATGAATAAAGATTTTCTGCATCATCCAAGAAAATTTAAAAAGGTAAGTAATGTAAATCTCAGAATATTTATGTTTTTGTTTCAAAAATGATTACGAAGCCATTTCTGGGGTGTTAGGAGGTATTTGCTTTGGATTTTTCTCTGTGCCACATATTAGCCAGCTCCCATTCTTGCTTCTTATATATTTTTTCTTTATACATGAGATCATTTTGTTTTCTTAATCAGGGGAGTGCAAGGGGGATTTCATTGAGATCTCACTTGCTCTGGGTAGCTTCAAAGCAAATCATTGGCCCTGTAATAAGCAAATATTAGTTGAGGTGAGCTGTTAGCCAGAATGTATGTAAGCTTTCAGCATGACATGCAAAGTGGGTTAAGGATAAACTTGTAATACTAAGCTAAGCTATATGCAAGAACTGACATGTTCAATCTTTCGGTCATTCATGGAGAGCTAAACTGAATAAAGACACTACACCAAAATGATACTATTTCAAACAGAAGCAGACACATTTTGGTCTTAGCCGCCAATTCCACTAAATACAGGTGGTACTAAAGAATGAGAACAGAAAGGGATAGAAGAACAAAGGAGAAAGAACAGTTGTATTAGCTTCATGATCAAATAAACTCTTATTCAGGGCGTGTTTGTTGTTCTACATTCCTTGATTTCTTGTTTCTTCATCTTACTGGAATATGAGGACCCTTGAACTTTTACTTCTACCATGAAGGACATTTGGGAAATATTTCAAAAGCAGCCCAAGGGATTACTAGAGAATCCTTAGCAGCAAAGTCAGTGACTTCAACTATTGAGTGCCCTAAAACACAGATAAAATATTAAGCAATGGCTCAAATCAATATTTCCAAATGGTTTACTTGTCGAGTTTCTCCAGATATTTTCTTCATAAAGCCACAGAACCTTTCATCTAGAGAAGCTTACAAAACAGTTTTGGGAGCTACAAACTTAAAAGAAAAAAATAATTGCGCAATACCATGTAATCCCTTATGCTTTGTAGTTCTTATTTTTTTTTCTGAATTATAATTCTTATTCATTTTTCAGACACCTCTCTGTTTGTTTTAGTACTGGGGATTAAACCCAGGGCACTCTCGTTTATTTGGAAACAAGGTCTTACTAAGCTGCTAAAGCCAGCCTCAAACTTGCAATCCTCTTGCTTCAACATCCCAAATTGCTAGAAGGCATTTGCCACTGTATCCAGCAACATCTCTGTGTTTTAAGAAAGGAAATAGATTTCCTATTGTACAATTAAAGTAATAGGCACAAATATTTATCTAGAATTTTATCTATTATTTTCATTTAGCACCTATGGCCTGGCATAATTTTCTTGATAAATAATAATATCATTAAACCTATAGCTAAGATTTATAGAACATTTTTAATGTGCTGAGTACTGAGCTAAGCACTTCATCTCATACATGACTCAGAACAACTGCATAACATATTTAATACTACTATCCCATTATACATATAGGAAAACCGATGTGTGGAGATTGGGCTACTTATCAAGATCACAAAGCTAGCATGGCAGAACTAAGATTTGAACTTTAGACTCACAGATGGTCTCAGTCCCACAGACTCCCTCCACTTTAGATACCAGCCACTACTGACAGCCCCAGACTTTAAGTACTTCTTCATAGCTGACTAAAAGCTGAGGCATTCCCATGACTTGTCCCCCAATTTTGATAATTCACTAGAATGACTCAGAACTCAGGAAAACACTGTACTCATGTTATAAAGGACACATCTTAGAAACAGCCACATGGAAGGGAGGAATAGAGCAAAGTATTCAAAAGGAAGTTCAAAGAACTTCTGTACCCCTTGTAGGTATGCTACCCTCCTAGAACATTGGTTTGTTCACTGACCCATAAGTGTAATTACAAACCAAAATTATAGTAACACTGGTTTTCATATTTGTTCATGTATTTAACCTTCACTAGTAAATACTAGAGAAATTTATATTGCTATATGACTTCAAGCTACCATCTAGTGCTATTTCATTTCTATTTGAAAGACTCCTTTTGTCATTTCTTATAGGGAAAATCTAGTGAAAATGAACTCCCACTGCTTTTTTTGGTTGTTGTTGTTCATTTATGAAATGCTCTTAATTTTTATTTTAAAATGTATTTTAAAATGTACATATAATATTGTAATATTTTAGGGTACAATATTGTAATTCAGTGTACATAGACAATGTGTAATGATCAAATTAGAATAATTAGCATTTCCATCTCCTCGAATACTTTCATTTCTATGTGTTAGAAACTCTCAGACTCTTCTCCTCTAGTTATTCTGAAATATATGAGGAATTATTCTACATTAGAGTTGCCATACTGGGCTTCAAAACATTAGAAGTATTCTACCCAATTATTATTATTTTTTTTTGGCAGTTTCCAAGTCATTTTATTCAGAATTTTGTGTTTGTTTCCTGAATCAATAAATACTATACAAAACAATGTAAAAATGGCTACCATTTTCTCTCCCCTGCTCCTCCTACCTGGGGACAATCCCTTGGGCAACCTCTCTTAGGGGTTCTCCTCGCAGATTTGGTCCAACAAATGAGGTTGTGACGTTATAACCCCTTGAATCATTTGGGATTCAAGTGGGGTGGGAGAGCCTCTGGGATTTGGAGGTGACTAGGTTAGGGGCATGGATTAGTGTTTTCTGGGAGGAGACGGCACCTGGGGCAAGAGCCTACCCCAAAGAAAAGGGTGTCTAAAATGTTCATGGTTCCTTCTTTTGCCTCAAAAAGTGACATTTATTCAAAGAAAAAGAAAAAGAAATGACAAGATGTCCATCCCTTGGCTCCCTTCCCTCCCCCTTCCAGCTGCTCCTTAGCCCCCAGGAGTGAACCCTGGCTGCAGCTAGGTAGCAGGACAGCCCCTCTCAGATGAGGTCAGCAACATTAAGGTACATCTCTTCAATGAAGGTGTTGTAGAAGGTCTCGATGTCTCGGAGAGTCCTCTTGTCTTCTTCTGTCACCATGTTAATAGCCACACCCTTACGGCCAAAACGCCCACCTCGACCAATTCTGTGGATGTAGTTTTCCCTATTGGTGGGAAGGTCATAGTTGATGACTAAAGAAACTTGCTGCACATCAATGCCTCTGGCCAGTAAGTCAGTGGTAATCAATACTCTGCAAGAGCCAGACCGGAACTCCCTCATGATCACATCTCTTTCCTTTTGGTCCATGTCTCCATGCATGGCAGAGACAGTAAAATCTCGGGCATGCATCTTCTCAGTGAGCCAATCAACCTTCCTTTGGGTGTTGATGAAGATGACTGCCTGGGTAATGGTCAGGGTTTCATACAAGTCACACAGTGTGTCCAGCTTCCACTCCTCTCGTTCAGCGTTGATGTAGAACTGGCGGATACCCTCCAGGGTCAACTCTTCCTTCTTGACAAGAATTCGAATGGGGTCCCTCATGAACTTCTTGGTCACCTCAAGCACCACAAGGCATTGTAGCTGACAACAAAACCACCTGGGTATTGCTGTTGAGCTTCTGGAATATGTCGTAGATCTGGTCCTTGAATCCACGGCTTAACATTTCATCAGTTTCATCCAATACAAACATCTTAATGTATTTGGGAGACAGGTATCTCCGGTTGAGCATATCAAACATGCGGCCAGGGGTACCCACAATGATATGGGGAGCTTCCATCTGCAACTTTTGCACCTCAGCATGCACATTGGTGCCCCCAATGCATGCATGACAGGAGGCACCCATGTAATCTCCTAATGCCATGACCACCTTTTGTATCTGCTGAGCCAATTCTTGAGTGGGTGCCAGTACCAAGGCTTGGGTGGCCTTTAGATCTAATTCAATCTGCTGGAGAATTGATATGGCAAATGCGCTGTTTTCCCAGTCCCAGATTGGGCCTGAGCAATCACATCATAACCCTTGATACAAGGAAGAATGGCTCGCTGCTGGATGGCAGAGGGCTTCTCAAAACCATAGGTGTAGATGCCACGGAGGAGGGACTCGGAGAGATTCATGTCATCAAAGCTGTCAACAATCTCATTCCAGTTACTCTCGATGACACCTTCGGGCTCCATTCCATCGGGGCCATTGTCTCTGGATCGGGAATCCTGATTCGCAAACATGATCCTTAGAAACTAGCCCCAATTATGTTTTAATACCCATTTTCTACCCTCTGACTCTCTCCTTCCTCCTCCCTCCACTTTCATTTGTCTTAATTTCTCCCTTGTTATTGTTTTGGTACCAGGGATTGAACCCAGGGGCACTTTACCACTGAGCTATATCCCCGGCCCTATTTTTTATTTTATTTTAGTTGTTGATGGACTTTTTTAAAAATTAAATGATTTATTTATTCTGATTTTTATACATGATGGCAAAATGGAATTCATTGCATATTGCACATATAGAGCACAATTTTTCAAGTCACTGGTTGTACACAAAGTATTTTCACACCATTTGTGTCTTCATATATGTACTCAGGGTAATGATGTCTAATTCATTCCACAGTCATTCTTACCCCCTTGCCCCCTCCCTTCCCCTCCCTCCCCTTTGCCCTATCTAAACGTCCTCCATTCCTCCCATGCTCCTCCCCACTCCATCTTCATTATGAGTCAGCATCCTCATATCAAAGAAAACATTTACCCTTTGGTTTTTTGGGATTGGCTAACTTCACTTAGCATTATCTTCTCCAACTTCATCCATTCACCTGCAAATGCCATGATTTTATTCTCTTTTAATGCTGAGTAATGTTCCATTGTGTATATATACTAAAGTTTTCCTATCCATTCATGTACTGAAGGGTATCTGGGTTGGTTCCACAGTTTAGCTATTGTGAATTGTGCTACTATAAACATTGATGTGGCTGTGTCCCTGTAGTATGCTGTTTTTAAGTCCTTTGGGTATAGACCAAGGAGTGGGATAGCTGGGTCAAATGGTGGTTCCATTTCAGGTTTTTCAAGGAATCTCCATACAGCTTTCTAGATTGGCTGCACCAATTTGCAGTCCCACCAGCAATGTCTGAGTGGATCTTTTCCCCCACATCCTCGCCAACATTTATTGTTGTTTGTATTCCTTTTTCTTTTCTTTTTTTTTTTTAATTGGTTGTTCAAAACGTTGTTTGTATTCTTGATAGCTGCCATTCTGACTGGAGTGAGATGAAATCTTAGAGTAGTTTTGATTTGCATTTCTCTAATTGATAGAGATGTTGAACAGTTTTTCATGTTTGTTGATAGATTTTATATCCTCTTCCAAGAAGTTTATGTTCAGTACCTTGGCCCATTTATTTTATGTATTTTTATATGGTGCTGAAGATTGAACCCAGTGCCTCACACCATGCTAGGCAAGCACTCTACACAGCCGTATTTTCTTTCTTCTTCTTCTTCTTCTTTTTTTTTTTTTGTTGTTGTTGTATTTTATTTAGAGACAGTGTCTCATTGAGTTGCTTAGTGCCTTGCTATTGCTGAGGCTGGATTTGAACTCATGTCTCAGCTTCCTGAGCTGCTAGAATTACAGTATGTGACACCATGCCTGGCTCTCCCTTGTTTTTCAAGGACAGTCTTGCTGGATATAGAATTCTCAGCTTCCAGGTTTTTCTTTAAGCATTTCTGTCCTATGATGAGAAATCTGCTGATAGTCTCAGTAAAGATACTTTATGTGCAATGAGTTGCTTCTCTCTTATTTTCAAGAAATTTTCTTTGTCTTTTTCTTTCAATATTTTGATTATAATGTATCTCAGTATGTGGCTATTTGGATTTATCATCCCTGGGCCTTATGATATTCAGTTGATAATATTAATGCCTTTCCTCAAATCTGGGAAGTTTTCCACCATTATTTTTTCAAATAAAGCTCTCACATTTTTTTCTTTCTCTTATTCTGGAGCTCTCAGATCTACTTGATGGAGTCCTAGGTTCCTTAGTTTCTGTTCACATTTCTTTATTCTTGTTTCTTTTTGTTTGTCAGACACAATCATCTCAAATGTCCTGTTTTCATGATGCTAATTTCTTCTTTTGCTTGTTTAAGTCTGCTATTGAACCCCTCTAGTGAATTTTTTTTTAAATTTTTAGTTGTGGATGAACACATACCTTTACTTTATTTATTTTTATGTGGTGTTGAGGATTGAACCCAGCGCCTCACACATGCTAGGCAATTTTCTTTATCACTGAGCTACAACCCCAGCCCCTCTAGTGAATTTTTAAATCAGTTATTATAATTTTAAGCTTCAGGATTTCTGGTTTTTGTTTGTTTTGTGCTGGCGATCAAACCCAGAGCCTCATGCAGGTGAGGCAAGTGTTACCAATGAACCATTATCCCTAACCTTGTTCATTCTTTTTTTATAATTTTTTGTTAATTTATTTCAATTTGCTAATATTTATTTTTCAGTACTGGAGATTGAATCCAAGGGTCCTCTGCCACTGAACTACACCCCTGGCCTTTTTCATTTTTTATTTTGAGAAAGGGTTTCATTAAACTGTTAAGATTAGTCTTGTAGCTGTGTGTGGAGGCACACACCTGTAATCCCAGCAGCTCAAAAGTTTGAGGCAGGAGGATCGCTAGTTCAAAGCCAGCCTCAGCAAAGTGAGGTGCTAAGCAACTCAGTGAGAACTTGTCTCTAAATAAAAAGACTAAATAGGGCTGGGGATGTGGCTCAGTGGTTGAGTGTTCCTGAGTTCAATCCCTGGTATAAAATAATAATAATAATAATAATAATAATAATAATAAAGGCTGGCCTTGTACTTGTGACCTTCCTGCCTCAGCCTCCTGAGTTGCTGGGATTATAGGTGTGTGCTACTATGCCTGACTCTGATATTCCAAATTTGTTTATGTATTGTTTTTCTAATTTCCTTTAGTTCTTTGTATTACTTTTTAGATCTTTGAGCATATTCAAGAAAGTTTTTTTTTTTAAAGGTCTTTGTCTAGTAAGTCTGGTACCTATGTTTCTTCAGAGATGATAGCTGGCCAGGCATGGTGGTACACACCTGTAATCCCAGCTACTCAGGAGTTTGAGGCAGGAAGGTCACAAGTTAGAGACCAGTCTGGCAACTTGGCAAGGCCTTATCTCAAAATAAAATAAAAAGGGTTGGGATGTAATTCAGTAGTTGAACACCCCTGAGTTTAATTCCTAGTAGCAGAGAGAGAGAAAGAGAGAGAGAGAGAGCAAGCAAGAGCTTCTGGACACTTATTTTGGTCTTTTGTATGTCCTGGATCTTTTGGTAAAAACTTAGCATTTGAAAAAACAGTCACCTCTCCCAGTCTTAACAAATTGGCTCTGTGCAGCAGAAGACCCTCAGTAATTATGCAACCTAAAGCTTTAAGGTCTTCTCAAGCTGTGTCTCCTCAATACTCCTGTATATGCAGCAGCTCAGTCAGTTGTTCTGCATTCCTCGTTCAGTAATCTCTTGCCCCCTGTATCTGTGGGTCAGTAGTCTTCCAGTGACTTTCACAAGTGATGCCTATGTCTAGCAGTCACTGATCTTATCCATCTGGGGTTTGCTATATCATCTATCAGAACACAGTCCTGAAAGTTCTGTTCTCTTTTTCTTCTGGAATCTGGCGTTCCAGTTCCTTACCCTATTTGCTTCAGGAGGAGGTGGTGTGCCTTGAATATGTGGCTTTACCATGGGCAGAATTAAAGTTGCGTACCTCAAGTCACAGGGAGCAGAATTGGCTCTTAAAGAGTTTGGGGAAACAGAGAAGACAGAAATAATACAAAAATAATGAGAAAAAGGCAATCTTACAAAGACCTAACAATTCATAGTAGAGTACCTGCCGCAGTCTGGCTGGGCACGAATAACCAAGCCACCACAAAGCCTTGTAGGTTCAAACAGCAACTACTTTATTTCAACTCTCACCAGCACTGCACGCATGCTTTTCCGCCAACGCCACCCACGTGGCCCTTCCAGAAAACCCCCACACCAGAAATCCCTCCTCCGGCACTTCGCCAACCAATGGGAACTCTCCGGGAATCCCCAGGAGAACTCCAAAGTAGCACAAGAACTCCATAGTAGCAGGCGCCCGAGGCAGCAAGAGCCTCCCCATAGATATACAATACAATCAAATATACAATACAATCAATCCAGCATCACAGCAATTATATACAGCTTAACTCAAATCATCATCTCAATGGTTCGCTGGCGTCACCTTTCAAACATTCCCTCTGGCAAATGCCATGCTCATCCTGACCCAGCCGTGGCTCTCAACAAGTACCCAGGACCCTACTTGGCCAGTCAGGACTTCTTGGAGATTAAGAAAGGCTCCATCCAATTCAGTTGTTTGAGAATCACTCTTGCATTAAAGGGGAAAAGGCCAAAGTAGAGTACAAGAGTTGTGACATTTTAATTGATTAATGTATATATGTATTGTAATGCCAGATTCTTGGGACCCCAATAGACCTCCAGGAGCCGAATCCAATGCAATCACACAAGAGTCTTTATTGCAAGCTCGAGCCTGGACTCACAACCGTTTCAGACGCAGCAGTCCCAGGGAGTGAGTTCTGGTCCTTTGTTCAGTGAGATTTTATAGGTTTTGGGGGGTTACTCTATGTGTCACAACATCACACAGCAAATCATTTCACACTGAGGGAAAGTCAAACAACAACTCAGCAGGGTGGGGATGTGCCTAGAAGTGCTCTGTGGGTTTTTCCCAGGACAAGGATCATGCCCCCTTCCTTAGGACAGGCCTTGAGGTAGAAAATTGTTTCTCAAAAATGGAGTCACATCAGTTTCTCAGTATGTATTTATTTTTGTGATAACCCAGGGTTGCTTTTCCAGTTAGCTACGTTCCCAACCACTTACCTCTTTTTTTCAGACTGGGTATCACTAAATTGCCAAAGCTGGACTTGAACTTTTGATCCTCCTGCCTCAGCCTCTTGAGTCCCTGGGAACACAGGTGTGTGCCACCACAACTGGCTTATTTATGTATTTTGTAAATTTTTTATAAGAAAAATTTCAAACCCATGGAATAGTCAGACACTCAAATACTCACTGCCTAGATTCAACAACAGTTAACATTTTTTTAATATTTATTTTTTAGTTTCGAGTGCACACACAATATCTTTATTTTACATTTATGTGGTGCTGAGGATCAAACTCAGTGCCTCAAGCATGCTAGGCAAGCACTTTACCTCTGAGCCACAACCC